GTTGTTGTTGCTGCTGCTGCTGCTGCTGCCTGCTGTCGATCGCATGATTGCCATGCGCTGCATCTTTGTGCTGGTGTTGCGAAATACGTACGGTGATCTCGAGGCCCTCGTCGGCGAGGATGAGGGCGGCGTAAGTGGCGGCAAGATCGCTGTTCATTGTCGAAGTATGCGGATCGGATGGTTGCACGAGCGATGGAGAGAGTAGAGAGTGTTAGGAGACGTGTCGACGGTAGTGTTGGTTGATGTGCAGCTGGATGGACCACTTACGAGGAAGCCATTGTGACTATGTGATGATATCGAGAAATGGATAACTTGACGATAGGTCGGGAGGAAGGAGTGCTTGATCGCGAGCTCCAATGTAGCGCCGGGCCTCGGACTCTCGCTGCGATTCCCACACGGCAAGCGACACTGCAGCAAAGGCGGGCTGAGGCTGCACTCTGCGCGCTGAGCCACACAACTGGCTCTGGACGGCGACGTTGCGGTGACGCTGCTGCACCAACTCGCAGGGCGGCCAGGCTGGAGTCCGGCTCGAGGCACTGCGGCTGTCTCTGTGCTGACCGGTGAGCATCACGTGCGTCGATTCGCCTACTACGAAAAGCTCGGCCGAGGTTTCATTTCAACCCCATCGGGATCATCATTAATCGAGCTGCCCGATACTGGACGCGTTCTGGATGTGAGGCTGAATGGGGCCCAACATCTCTTGCCAAAAAAGACCGAATTTCCGGCTCTTGATGTGAGATCGAACTTACGCGTCGGATTCTCCGCGTTTTCGGGCCAAGCTGCGTCGGATTCGCCGGGCAAAAAGCCGGATCTGAATCCCGCGCTCGAGCACTGTCCACCCGCCCCCACCTCCTCGCACCTTAGCTCCGTCTTTGCTCCTCCTCATCTCAATCTTCGCCTCTGCATCTCACAGCGAGCTTTGGATCATGTCTCGCGTCACTCCATCCTCGGCGCTATCGCGCGATCAAGCGGTAGCGTCCGCGGAGCATCCGCAGCACAACCCGCCTTTGCACGTGGCGCACTCGCCCACGTACACGCTGGCGGCCACCTTCGCATCGGCGGGGTTGGGCAATGCGATTTCGGCGGCATGTACGAATCCGGCGGACATCGTCAAGGTGCGCCAGCAGCTGGATACGTCTCGGTCTGGGTTCCTCGCTGTTGCGCGCGGCATGGTTCGTCGCGAAGGAGTGCTGGCGCTGTGGAACGGGGTTACCGCCTCGTGTCTGCGCGAGCTCAGCTACAGCACTGTCCGCTTCGGACTGTACGAAACCTTCAAGGACGGCTACTCCTCGGCGCTGGGGGTGAGCGATAGCAGTTTTGCACTCAAGGCGCTTAGTGGTGTTTCAAGTGGCGCGATCGGAAGTGCCTTTGCGTGTCCTACCGATCTTGTCAAGGTGCGAATGCAGGCCATCCGACCTACAGGCCGCCCTCCGTACAGCAACACATTCGTCGCTTTCGCCCACGTGTACCGCGAAGGCACCGGCATTGTTGGCGGTATCAAGAGTCTGTATCGCGGTGTAGGACCGACGATCGTCCGGGCGGCCGTGTTGACCAGCTCCCAAATCGCCTCGTACGACCAAGTGAAAACCACGCTCAAGCGAAACCAGCTGCTCGACGAGGGTTTCGCTCTCCACTTGTCGGCATCCATGGTGGCAGGTCTAGCATGCTCGGTTACAAGCGCTCCCTTCGATACGGTCAAAGTCAGGCTCATGCAGGACAAGAAGCGCGAGTTCAAAAACGCCTTTGACTGCCTCGCCAAACTCGTCGCCAACGAAGGACCCCTCGCCCTGTATAAAGGGTAAGCCCAACCACCCCATCCTCTTTTCCTCTTGATCCCCTACTCACTTGTTGACTTTTTGACGCGCGCGCGCCCGGGACAGATTCGCAATGTGCTGGGCTCGTCTCGGCTCACACACCGTCATCTCCTTGATAGTAAGTCCAACCATGCCTTTTTGGAGTCAACTCGACACTAACCTCTCCTCCCACTTTGTCTCCCGCACAGCTCTTCGAACGCTTCCGCACGCTGTTCGGCGTCAAACCGCTGTAAGAGCACGCACACCTTGGATCCGCACGCGCAGCCGGTAGAAATTGTTCATTCTTCACAGAACGCCCTCGGTCACCGCATACGCAATCACAGAGGCCAAGCGGCGCGGAAGAGGGGCAAGAGAGTGACCAAGCGTCGAGATACACGAGCAGCTCAAGCGAGCAACAAAACCGACGAGCACATTGTACATGCGCGAGTGGCTCTGCACCATTTGTGGGCGGCGTGGTGGGGCAGGCCTAGAACCGGCGACCGCTGGCGGGGACGGGACCGCGTGGGGCATGCTGTTGCGGCGGCGGTGCATAGCCCTGCTGTGGATGCGGCTGGGGTGGGCCTTGGGCGCGATACTGCTGCGGCGGTGGTGGCCCGCGCTGTTGCTGGTACATCTGCGGGTTGGGCTGCGGACCTGCGCCTTGTGCTGGCCTCATACCGGCCGCCTGACTAGGGCCGCGGTATCCGGCATTGACGCCTCCCTGCGGCTGCGGCACGGGCATGGGCATCTTTTGCTGTGGTGGGTTCGGGCCACGCATCGCGCCGCCCACGGCAGGGCGGCTGGAGGGTACGGCTGTGGACGCCGAGGGCGCAGGGGCGCGCTTGGGTTCTGTGGACTGCGCCGCCTTGATGATCTCGTCGTCGAGCACGTTGAGCGCTGCGCAGAGCACGATCCACTCGACCATGTCCTCGTTGCCCTCGCCGAGCGTCTGCCACACGGCCTTTTCCTCGGGCGTCTTTCCTGCGATGGTCACACGCGTTCCGCCGCCACCACCGCTTCCTGCCGCGGCGTTCTTCTGGATCTTGCCAAACTCGATGCGCTTTGGTGGGATGAGATGGCCGGCGTAGGTAAAGTAGAACATGGTCCACCAGGTTGCGTTCGGGTTGGGTTTCGAGATCTGGAAGAGCGGCTGTTCGTGTCCGGGCGCGTCTGGATTGGGGAGCGTGAGTTTGTATACGGGCGCGTGGATGCCCGTGTTGGTGATGGACCATTTGAGGTTGCGCGATGCCTCGCAGCGCACCGTCTTGTCCGAATGGCCGTTGGAGTGGCCGCCGTCGGAGGAGCCGCCGCCGGGACCGCGCGAGCCGGGCGGCGGCACCATCTTGGCGACGCAGAGGTCGCCCTGCGGCGAGGGGGTGAGCAGGTACGTCTCCTTGTTAAAGTTGGTGTGGATGTACGAGTAGAGCGTGTGGTGTGGCTGGCCGTAGGGCGTGACGATGAGCGTGGGAAGATGGTTGGGGATGGGCGCATGGTTGGGCGAGGTGTAGATCGAGTAGACTGCCGACATGTTGGGCGACGGATGGCAGCGGTGTCGGCAGCGTGCGGCGATGCCGACAGAGGGCGGGACTGGCGTGGGATCGGAAAGGCGTGCAAGCGAGATACGGAGCAGCGAAAGCGCAGAAGGCCGAGAAAGCAAAGACGAGGCAAAGTGAAGCAGCGATTAACGAGATGCCGAGGCGAGAGACAGCAGGTGAAGCGGAGGAGAGGGGAAGAGGATACAGTCGACGTTGCAAGGCGGATGGGGATGGAGCGGGGATGGTGGTGAGGGAGACGAGCGAGCTGGCCACGGTGACGACGGGGCGAGGGTGGGTGTGAATCGCAGCGAATTGCAGCGGATTGCAGTGAATTGCAGAGAGAGAGTGAGAGTGAGAGAGTGAGAGAGACAGTGGGGTTTGGACTGGATTGGATGCGGCTCGACTGGTGAGATGCCCGGACGCGCCAACCAGCTCGACACCCCTGCACACCCTGATGCGGAACTCGAGTCTCCATCCCTCACTCCTGCCGCGCTGATTTTTTTTTCCCCTATTGTCACCCAGCTGCAGCGGCTCATCCGTTCTTTCCTCGACGTAGCTTCGATAGCACTCCTGGATAGATTTGATTGCTTCGTCTCGCTGTCAAAGCGGGTGACTAAGCAAGGCGTATCGCTATCGGATCTACCGAGTCTTGCGGTGCTGCCAGTTGAGGAAGGCGACGGCGGAAATGAACCAAGGCGAAAAAGGGGGCAGCAGCGGATAACCCGTGTTTTGTTGGCACACTGCGCTTTTGCCGCGCTGCCAGCGTGGAAATTACAAAAAAAGGCGGTGCATCTTTGCAGAGGATCGACGAGGTGCGTGGTTGGCCTCGCCTACGTCCCCCGCTGCTGGGCCGCTGCGGTGCCTCTGCGGTGCCTCTGCGCGCCGGTGCCCTTTCACTCTCCGATGCGCCTGCCAAGCTTCGGCGCCGGTTTATGCGGGTTATCTTGGTCCTAATCTAACACTACGAATCAAAAACGACCCCTCCAACTCAGCCTCCATTTCAGCGCCTCGATTTTCGCGCAGCAATAAAAGTGACATTTCTATCTTCCAGCTTTGATTCCAGCATTGGTTCCAGCTTTGGTTCCAGCTTTGGGGCAAGCTCTCGAATCTATACGTCACCTTTCTCGCCGCTCTGCTTGTCTGCCTGCGACGACGATGCAAGAGCACCCTCATCGCGCGGCGCCGCTGATTCGGCTTGCTGTGCATCTTGGTGCTTGTATTGCAAGCTGTCGTCAAAGCCGAGCTGAGCCAGATCCTTCCACGTCTCGTCGGCATCGTTGTCGCTCTGCAGGTGGTACATCTGGCAGAATCCGCTGAACGTCAGGTTTCCCTCCTCGTCCGTATCCAGAAACTCGCGGATCTCGTCCTTGGACTCCTGCGGAAGAGCACCGCCGTTGGTCACCGTCGAAAAGGCATCCAGCTCCGCCTCGGTCCACACGTCCGCTGCGTCGGGGCGTGCAAGCGTCGCACTCGCATTGCTACCGCTAGCACGCGCATCAGGGAAGCGCTTCTGGTACGACGAGGAGAATCGTGCAAAGATCCGCACCAAGGCCGCCTCAAACTGTGCATACCAGCCCAAGCCACGAGTCAGTAAGCCACACTTGCAGACTACGGTCCTGAGCGTGGACTCACCTCCAACGACAGGTCGCCCTCGTCGTCCAATAGTGCCGCTCTGACCGTGCTATGCTGCTTGTCACCCGCGCTCATCTTTCTTGACTCTTGGCGATGCCGAGAGGAAGGGGTGAACGTCCATCGTCCTCCGCTTCTCCACTTTCCGCGCCTTCTCCACCTCCGACTTCCGAAGTCTCAACACCAAAAAAAAAA